ATATAAAGTATGTTTTTCTTAGTTTTTCTTTGGTATTTCTTTGGCTCTGGGGTGGTTGTGGTAGTTATGGATCTAGCATTTCCAAATCAGTGCTAACTTCACACTTTCCTGCCCTGCATCCAGAGGGCTAACCTGTGTTTATCGACCTGAGGTTGTTCTCTCCAAGGATCAAATCATCCCTCAGTTGGGCAAAACCTTGATAAGTTCTTGCTAACTGAGTCAACTCCACATGAACTTCTATTGTCATCAAAGGGTTTGGATTTAGATGGTTTCTGGACTTTTATAGCTATTGCACAGGCCCTTGAAAAGTCTTGAGCATGGGTCACTTGCACATGTAATGCTGAATTATGCTTGCACTAAGGTTACACTGGAATTTAGTGGATTCCATAAAAAAAGCTGTGCTTGTGTGTGTCATTTTCATCTCTTGACTATTACACAAATTGTATCTCCTCTCGAAGTTGTGTCCCAGAGGTTGGAGAATGTCACAGTCAAATGTCAGTGCCAAAGAGGAGATGAGAAATAGGCCATTCTGGAGGTTTCCAACTCTGTAGGCAGACTAATAAATAGCGTACAAGACTTTTAAACTAACCATTCCTGTTGGGTTTGAAGATGTACCTTGATAGATAACATCCCAATGCAGATTTAGGGCCACTTCATGTAACTTAAACACACGAGGGTTGATTTTTCAGGTCTCCCATTGCCCCAGGCTCTTGGTGCTACAATCACAGGTCCCCTTTCTTGTGCCTCACCCTGTATCTTTACTTTCTGATGGGGTCACTGTTAGTGAAGACCTCGGGTGAAAAAGTTCTGACTGACTAGCTGAGTTTTCAGAAGTGTAGTGAGTTATTTGTAATTAATGGGAGATCTGGAATGGGGAACTACTCCTGGCAACCCACTGAAAGCCTGGATTAATATGGTCACTCTTCCAGTTGTCTGCCTTGGGCTCTTTGCACACTGAAGTGTTCACTGCAGCTCTTTTTGAAATCCTTATCCTTGGAGAGTCACAGTGTTGGTCATTAATACTTCAAGTTTTCATTGAAGGGCCTGGCTGATAATTTATACTCCAGAACTTAGTGGTCTCAAACCTTGACGTTATTTCGGACACGTTAGGATGGGAAGTGCTTTATTAAAGGTTTAGGATGGTTCTTTCTCAAATGTGTCTGAAGGCAAAGGCTCAGAGATCCACATTTCCCATGATGTACCTAGAAGTACAGAAAACTAGAAGTTAAGTTTTCAGTCTTCTAGATTATACATTTCCTCAAATAAGCAATATTTTCCCTGTTTCTGTGGAACTTCTTAAGGTCATCACCTATGCTGAGTATTTTGCCTGAACAATTGAAGTTTTTTTCCCCTTTTTTTCTTTTCCCATGGCTCATTAATTCATAGATGAAGAATAATTGATACCCAGACATATTTTTAATTTTTTCTGGTGATAATATAACCATGACATACTCTGAAATGTCATTTTTCAGGGAGTCAGAGTTATTTGTAAATAGCTCATGGAACACAGATTGTTCTGGCTAGAATATGACTTTAGATTTCAACCATCAGAAGGTTTTATATTCTCCCCTCCTTTTCCATATTTATTTCCTGTTGAAGAACAATGTTGAATTATTGTTCTGTTCCAGAACAGCTTTATTATACTGTATATATCCCTTTTGTATCAACAGTGTGTTGTATTTTTGTGGTTATGCTTCTTAAGCACATAGATGCAATGGAAAAGAGTAGAATATGTAGAGAGAGCCTTTCACATGATTTTCTGTATTTCAAACAGACCTTTGGATTATTTAGCAGTTAATTTCTCTGTATTTTTTAATTCTGTAATTAATATGGTATGCTTCAGGCAGAAGTACTTTACATTAGAGTATGCAGAAGTGGTTGGTTTTCCTTCAGATTAATCTACTGTGGGCACTGAAATGTCTACTAAATTGGGCCTAATTTCCATCAGCTTCTTGATCAGACATTTGTGTTCTTGCAGATGTCAGTGGGTGCAACGTGGAGGGAAAAAAGTGTACACTTTTTTTTTTCAGTACTGTCATTTCTCACTGTAATGAGCACAAAAATAATTGGACAACTGAGCTATCAGTAAAAGGACACACTTCAACGTGAGTCAATGAATTATTTTACAGGACAAACTTTAATCTTTAAATGTGATTGTAGATAATTTGTGCTACCATCTGTCCATTTGGAATTCTTTTAGCCTTTTCAGTCGTTATACAGTAAGTGCTGCTGTGTTTAACATTAACATTTGATATTTTACACATTTAATTTCTGTACTGCTGCGTGGTCCTTGGGGAGCTTTGCTCCAGTGCTACATGAGAGAGACAAAGTATTGATCAGTTAACATTTCAGCTACATTTATGTATGTCGCAAAATTAATGAAAATGCCAGACAAAAATGTCAGAGTGCACAAAAAGGTAGAATTTAAATTTGGTAGTTTAATGAAAAGTTTAAGATGTGCATTATCAAAAAATGTCCCCTTGACTTTAAAGTACAATTCATAACTGAGTAACTAAAGGGAACCACATATTTTACTTGGAGGAACATTGAACATGAAATATGAGGGAATATACGATCTTCAAAGTGTTTGGTATCCCAAAATGTCCTCAGTGAAACACTTTAATTGCCTGATTTAACTGCTACTCATAAAATAAACTTGTTTCCTTTCTCATTGGGAAGCAGAGTGCCCTCACCTGATCACACACGTTTTTTAGCATGTCCCCAAATTAAAGCTTCCTATGAACATGTGCTCCTGTTCCTGTTGTTGTGCCTCTGAATCTTGCTATACTTGTGTATGAATGCACATAGAAAATACCTTCCTTTCTTGGGCTCTGAAATATTGATAAAATTACTCACCCTGCACCCAGGTAGTTTGTCTGTTCTATCTCACTTTCACTTTGTCTTCTGACGTTACACAATTCTTGTGTGAAAATGGCACAGCAGTGTTCCCAGCCCTTGATTAGGGCTGGGATTAGAGAAGTGCTACTTCTCTTGCACAACACCAGTGAGTTGTGATGGTGTCATGCTAATTAGTTGAAACTGAAAAGCAAACAGAAAAAAAAAGAGCTGGTCCCAAGCAGGAAATGAGACGGTAATTTTGTCAACTTACTTAGCTTTTCCCTATTAAAAAGAGAAATAATCACGACTGTGTGCTTCAGAAGCAACTTTCACTCAAAGAAGGGCAGTGATTATGTTTTGGGAGAGACTTGATATGGTACCACCAGGAATGGGGATGCACTTTTGTTAGTTATTAAGTATTTTCCCTTTTTTCAGCCTGTAATTGTAGGAGAATCAAATTTTTGAAGGTATATTTGAGAGCTCAGAAATTTTGCTACTATTG